CCCACCTACCTGAATCTCCTTCACAGACAGAGGGAGGAGGCAGCAGGAGCTGCTCACGCGAGAGCCTCTGAGTACTTCCTCCTCGCTCATCTCTGTCGCCATTCCCCCACCCTCCTCGCAACATGTCTGAACATAAGAATGTTACTTTTCTCTTACATACTCCTCATTCCCATTTCCTCTCCTCCTCCTTGCTTTCTCCTGCTTCCCGCTTCTGTTCCCCCGCCCCTCCCATCCTCCTTCATCCTCCTTCTCCACCTCCGATACTCCCATCCTCATCCCTCTTCTCTCTTCCTCGTCCTTCTCTTCTCTTCCTCCCTCCTCCTGTCTTTCTTCTAGCGTCCCCCTCCTCCTGTCTTTCTTCTAGCATCCCCCCTTCGTATCACCTGCTTGACTTTCGAGCAGTGATTGTGCAGGAAAGTGTTCAGGAAGGGGCTGAGAAACGACAGGCTGCGGAGCATCGTCGAGATGAGGCGGTACTCTCTGTGCCAGATCGCAAGATCCCTCTCCTCCTGCACCCCGGGGTCTCGTCAACCACAAACGATGCCGTCCTCCCACTCTCCATCCTTCCCCTCCTCCCTGTTCCCAAACTTCGATCGGCCTCCCTCCCTTCTATACCGTAGCTTTCCCCTCCCGCCCGCCCCTGCTCCCTTTTCCCTCTCCCCCTCCTGCCCTTCTTCACTCTGCCGCCTTCCCTTCCTCACCTTGGTCAGCTCGTACCAGTACGCGTGCACTCCCTGCCATCACCCTCAGCAAAGACCTCCTCGCTCCTCGCTCCTCGCTCCTCGCTCCTCGCTGCACACACCTCAAAGCAGACCGGAGTTGACACCACAGCCGACAGGCATCCGCACGGCGGCTTCACCGTCATCATCTGCAAGGCCTTTTCTACAGGGGACTGCATGTACCCGTGTCCTTGCAGCCAAAGGAACCCCACTACCTTCCTCAGCGTCCGCACCAGTAGCACTGATGCCCGGATCATCTCAGCTCTGTCCAAGGCGTCCGCCTGTCGAGCCTCTGGCGCCTCTTGCTCTTCTCCTCCATGCCTGCTAACTTGCCTCCAAGAACACAGCTCTTGCTCAATCGGTTGATGAGGCAGATTGGAGAAGCAAGACTGCCTCTCATCTCCTCCTCCTCCTCCTCCTCCTCCTCCTCCTCCTCCTCCTCCTCCTCCTCCTCCTCCTCCTCCTGCAAGGAAATGTGCCAGCCTCGCAATCTCCTGCTTTTGCCTGGAAGTGACTGCGAATCGATACTTCGTCTGGCAGCATTCCAGCCAGATGGAGGAAAGAGACGTTGCAACGTAACCTGCACGGCATGTCCTGCACAAGGATCGTCTCAGGGAACGCAGAGGAGCAGAAGCAGGGATACATTGCAATGCGAGCTAGCTGATCCGGTTCCAGCATGCTTGACAGTACGAACACGAAGACGTCCGAGGATATCAGTCCCTCCAGCAGACCTCCAGGTACGTTTGAGCATGATGTCATTGCTCTGTTTCGTGATGTTGGTGGCTCCATCTCGCGTTCAATCGATGACTTCCCTTCCCTTTCGTAGGACATGGCCAAACATCTGTTGGGCAGCCTCGGTTAGCAGAGCTTGAAGAACAAAGGAGGGGATCCACGATGAGAAAAACAAGCTAGACAGATAATCGAGGGGAAGAAAGACAACAGGTAGTTTCCTGCTTCTGCGTCTTCTCGCTTGCAAAAATACTAACTACACCTCCGAAACTGCAGAGGAATGATTCACAGAATCGCCGTGGGCAGCTCAGAATGCCTGACAAGCTCAGCACCCGCCTTTCATCCATAGCACACAGCTTATGTCTACTGCTGCGAGCTCTCATGCTCTCCTTCGCTCCCGCCACCCCCACTCGTCCTCCTGCCTAATCCCTGGCGCTCCGCCATGGAAATGGAGGGCCCTTGAATGTCCTGAAATCTAATTAGCTGGACGATTATTACTCATGCCAGTGACAGTGGCCCGGGCCCGGCGAGTTCGGACAGCGAAGTTGCGAGTCCGTGAAGTGCCGCCGGGGCCGGGTAGTTACTGATAGCCTGAGTACAGTAGCGTGACTCAGTGGTCAGACCGCCGGGTGTCCACAGCGGGTATAACCGGCGGGCGTCCGCACAGAGTTCAGACCGGGCCTTGTATGGCTCCGGGACTCTGAGTACGGTCGAACTATTCAGCCTCGGACGGAGGCACTCATACTAGCCCCGGATGCCCGCCGGGCCCGCCCGAAGACTCTGACTGCGTCGATCGGATGTTCGGACTCGATCGGACGGTCGAGTCTCCGGAACTTCCGGACTCGTTGAACGCGGCCCGGGCCGGCCGGGCCGGCCCGCCCGGGGTGAGCCGTGACTCGTGTCAGTCGGAGCGGAGGCTGAGTCAAGCCTAGTTGTCCGATCTGGCGCCAAAAAAAAGTTTGTGGCCTTAGGCTGCGCCATGGCAGATGCTGCGACCTTCTTGATCGAGAAGACGCTCAAGGTATTTCATGCTGAGGTCGTCTTGTCATATGATGTCAATGGAGAAGAGATATGGCGATCCAATAATGATTGAAAGATGTTGTAGTTGTGTAAAGCAGATTTGGTTGACGTGCTTCAGGCTGAAGAGTCCATCTCATCCGAATTAAAGAGGAATGAAGGTCTTCAAGAGAACTTGGACAGGTTCGTTCTGTATTTGAAAGACAAAATCGAATTCTCTCAATGCAGGATGACCTTGTTGGCGAATTTGAGAAAACAGTCCAACAGCGAGCTGAGGGTCAAAGTCCTCGAAACAGAGAAAATGATGCTGGAAAAGTCGATGACATTCAACCAACTGATGAAAGAAGATGACATGCTAGGCAAAAAGATCAAGCAAATTCATCGAAAAATAAGTCACAAGATCCGTCTTTTCAAGCTGTATGATGAAACCTCAAAAATTTGTTCATTCGTCATGGAATCAGCCAAGAAAGATGCAAAGAAATATTTCCAAAATTCTCAAGAGGTGTGAACTATGTATTGTCCTCTCTCTATTGCATTTCCTGCACATCCAATTGTCCCAATCATTTGTTTGCAAAAACGTTTGATCGTTGGAGCAGATTACCAAACTTCGGATGCTTAAGCGTGCGATGGCACATGTTGACAAGAAGCAATTAGGAGCAGATATCCAAGGACTCGAAGATTATGAACATGAAGTGAAGATTGAAAACGAAGCCATGCGACAGGCTTTGAAAGTACGAAAAAGCTTTGCAATAGACATCGTTGACTTTGAACGTGACAGGATAGAGAAGCAACACTGCACAGGAATTTTTGTCGCAGTTTTGAAGCAATACTAAGTGCAGCTTGCAGATTAAAAATGAAATTTCGCAGTCTCAAGACAAAATCTGAGGTGTCAGCGACTTCGTTTGAAAGGTTGCGTTAATCTCTGCTTTCGTCTGAAATGCGACAACCCTTGTACTGAAATACAAGTCCACAAGGACTATGGCAGACATTTCGAATGAGATGAATGAGGCAGCGGAGCGACACGCGAGAGCCACGCAAGGAAATTTCAATGAACTATATCTTTGTTACATAGCTGACGGTGTTTTAATTCTTGTGAATACTCTTTTCTTTTCTTCGAATCACAGAGCTATCGACTCTAGAACGTATGTTGTCAGACACAAACATGGCTATTTCAAACGTCGAGAGAGAGCAGAGGCGATTGCGCCAAGAATTGCGAAGAGAATGAATGCAAATGCCTCTAAATTGAATCAGTGAACATTTTGACACTTCTTCGTTGTATTGGTTGTCCTTCGCGATTGTGCGATTTTTTTTGCATTTTGACCCCAAGATCTCATCTTAGGATGAAAGCGTGTTCAAAGAAACTGTTCTCGAGAGCCTCCTCCTGCCTCAGCATTCCCATCAGATCTCTCCATATCCATGACTGATACTCTGTGCTCCTTCCAGTGCAATTTGCACAGCAGAAGAAGGTTTTGTTTCTGCCTGTACAGCACTATCCTCTGCTTGACGAAGGGAACCCCCGTGCTAAGCATTCCACGATGAGACAAACTTTAACGCTTGAACTCCGCCCGTGAATTGTTTTCTTGCAGTCAATTGGGATCAGCAATTTAGCAAAGTTCACCATTGCATCTTCAGTCATGCTAAAGCTGGTTTAGGTATGTGCTAGAAAATTTGGCCCCCGTCGTCTCGTCCCACTCGTGATTGTCATATCCACATCAAAGATTCCTGGTGGTCAGCAACAGGATACAAGGGACCGAACCGGAGGGCGCTTGCTTCTTTTCTCCAGGAATCTGAAACGTACTGCTGTCGATGAGGTAAGGGAGTCTTGGACGGGATTTTCTGAAATCCGTTGTAGAGGTTTTCTGCATTATGTCGGAGATCGTGAATCTTAAACTGGCTGTCTGCAATCCTGGAAGAATTTTCCATCGGGGTTTTTGCCTGTTGGATCGGCCAATTCTGTTCGTCATGAATAGAAATGACTTGCAAGAAAGATTCCTTTCATCACCGTCAAAAACTTTTCGGTCACATTGTGCAAAAGTCACCTGATGCCAACGATCCTGATTTTGCCTGTAAGCCCTCAGGGAGGCGAGACTTGAGCTTAGTTGGGTGTGATAGTTTTGGTGGCACTTTTCGATTTCGCGTTGAAGCTTCCTGTCGTACATTTTGTCGATCTCAGTCAGAGTACTTGCCAGCTGGTCTGCATTTCTGCCTCTGCACTGCAACAGCTCATTTTCCATTTGCTGTGCGCAGCATTTAGGGTATGAATTCAATGAGCAGCGAGGCCTACCTGGAGCAAGAATTTGTTTGTTTCCTTTGCACTTCTTCTATTGACATAAAGGTTCTGTCCCCCTGATATCTTCTTATCAAAATCTTGTACTCCAGCAAGCCTGATGGTTGAACGATCAGAATCCACATAGTTCCACATATAAATCATCGTCAACCTTTTCCCCTGCAAAAAATCGTGGCTCACTATCATCTCAGCTGCGGCTGGAATTCGATCATGCGCACGCGTGGCGCGCGATTGGTCCTCCCAGTTTCTCCCATGATCGCTGCCGCTGACAGCACTCATTGCATAGCTCGCCGATGACCGCAGCTCTCCGTCCCCTCCTCCAAATATCTTCATCTCCAGCTCCTCCTTCGACATCCCTGTCCAGTGCCACAGGGCCGACATGCGCTCCTCCCCACCGGAATGACTCCTTGCTCCCCACAGCCGCCTGCGCAGTGCGCGAGGAGCGGCCGTTTTCAGTCATCCCCTTGTCAATTTTTTTTCGGCCGGTTCCGAGAGCCGAGCCGGGCCGGGCCCCGGACGCCGATCGCCTTGGGCAGGCCGCCCTGAGTACTCAGCACAGACCAGTGTGCCTGCGCTACATCGGTTATGATCCCTCATGACTTTCTCCTATTGGTAGAGGGTAGGGTGCAAACATGAACTGAAAAAGATAGGGTGGGGTGATCAAATAGTAGATGAGAAGGGGGTACTTAAATATTACTTTGTGGGGTACACTCATGAAATGGTAGGGTGATACACCGATATGGGGTCAAGTGCAGAAGGGGGTGGTCTGTTCCACCGGGCTCTCGATGGCGGCGATACGGGGGAGGAAGAAGGAGAGGACGGCGGACGAGATCATCCAGCAATCAGCACAGGTTGACAAGTGTCCCCATGCAGAGGACAACTTCGCACGCTCCTCTTGCCTTCGTTGCCCTCCCCAAACTCTGCTGATCCTGGAAGACTGATCGGAATGTTATGAACAGGAAGCAAGATCGAGGTTCCCTGCCCCTCAAGCTCCTGGTGCGATAGGAGGAAGGAGCAATGGTGAGGAGGATTGTTACTTGAGCGATAATTTGATGCGGACACCAAGGTACGCACAAGAAGAGCTATCATGGAGAACTTGCAGACCCGATCCTCATCAATGAGTTATCGGTGACGACAACAACGACATGGACTCGTGTGTAACGACAGGTTCCAGGCACTCTCGAAGCATAAAGACGAGTCCTCCTGGCATGTTTTCGGGAAGGACCAGAAGCTTGATGCGCAGATCTTAGGAGCTGATGAATCCACTGCTGTTCGTTATGTAAAAGGCCGAAATCTTCTTTGACAACTCACTGACGCATGTCATACAGCTGAAGCATCAGACAAACGACCAGTGACTATCACTCGCTTGCAGATGGTGGAGGAGATGGTTGTTCTTTCTCCTCCTCCTCCTCCTTGGTAACTGACTCTTTGCTCAAGACGCCAGCTCCGTTTACTCTCCTCCGCGCGGCTCTGCAGTGAACGTTGCCCGATCGCACCGGATTGTGTCGGACGGGAGCGATCAAGCTCCTTACGACAGCAAGAGGATGCAACCCTTTGACAACGAGCGAAGCTATCACGATGACTTGAGATCGCAGCTGCCCAACAGGTTGCCATATCTAGCTGCGCACTGAGCAATCCCTGACGGGAACCCAGGAACTACGACGCTCCTCAGGACTATCGTGGCTACGATGGATATCAGGTTTGACGTTTTCCTTCAGTCAGGCACGTCAGGGCTGATCGATGAGCAGGGAATGGCAGCAGACGATCATGCCAAGGGCACCGGCCCAGGGAGCAGCAGCTCTGTGATGAGCTTCGGAGAGCCACGGAACCGTACCTCGAGCTACTCTGACAGCCGTGAATCTCGGCATGAACAGCAACGAAGGTGCTGACAACATGTGGATGATGATGATGATGGTGATGATGATGATGGTGATGATGATGATGACGATGATCATGATGAGGGGGCAGGATGGAGATGATGATGGAGATGGAGATGAAGACGATGACGATGATCATGATGATGACGACGAAGTTCACGGTCGTGGTGATGCTCGTGATAATGATTAATATGGTGCTAATGCTGGTTTGTTGCGATTGGAGGTGGAGGTGGAGGTGGAGGTGTTGATGATGATGATTGCAGGTACAAGGCAGAGCTTGATCGTCAGATTCAAGAGAAGAATCAGGGCGGACAGGACAGGAGCAGGAGCCAGGCTAATCGAGTATCATGCTCTGCTTCAGTGTGGCTCGTTCAATCTGATCGCAATTGTCAGCCGACATCTATAATCGTTCCAGAGAACCCGACATCTCCTGGCCTCAAGGAAGCTGCGGGCAAGGTAGCTGAGGGAGGAGGGAGAGGAGGAGGGAGAGGAAGGGGGAAGGAGGAGGAGGAGGGAAAGGGAGAGGAGGAGGGGGAGGGAGGGGGAGAGGAAGGGGGGAGGAGGAGGAGGAGGGAAAGGGAGAGGAGGAGGGGGAGGGAGGGGGAGAGGGGGAGGAGGAGGGAAAGGGAGAGGAGGAGGAAGAAGACGTTCAGGAAGAGGAGGAGGAAGAAGACGTTAAGGGAGAGGAGGAGGAAGAAGATGTTCAGGGAGAGGAGGAAGAAGATGTTAAGGAAGAGGATGCCTGAGTCATATCGTCTGCTTCAGGTCAGCAGCATGCACTGGGGAGAACGGGACGTCAAGCAATGGTACGAGGCCGAGGACAGGAAGAAGTCGTACAGGGAGGAGCTGATGCAGCAGGTGGAGCGTGCTTGAACCTCCTGCCTCTACATGCTTGTGAGGGTTTCTATCAGATCCGGGAGAAGGAGAGGAGCCGGACGGGGGACAGCGCGCGGTCCCGGAGGCTCAGCGGAAACTCCTCCTTCTTCTCCGACGCCGATGACAGGGGTGACTCTCACCTTCCTGCTCTGCCGTCGCTGACCCAAGGTGTCCCTTCCTCCTGCCAGGCTCAGCTCCCTCTCATCCTCCGCAAGCTCCAACGAGATCAGAAGGTCAGGAGGCAGCAACGATGACTGAGGGGAGTTCTGACCGATGCTTCCCAGCTCCTCCCCGAGTTCACCATGACCCTCCTCTACACGATTTCCATCAGGACTATCACAACGCCTACGCTGATTCACATCCTCCTGTCATGGTTGCCTCCCCTCCCTCGCTACTTCCCGTGCTCATTCCTCCGCAGCGGTCTCTTGCTCCTGGCCATGCGCTAGCGGCTCCTCTGGACCCCCGACAAATGAGCTCGGCTAGGAGCTCGGTGGAGACGGAGGTGTACTTCCCTGGAGGAGGATACGGCGTGCAGGGCTCCTCCTACACTCCCAGTCAAGCTGGCTCAGTGTCGCAAGAGGCATATGACGCCCTTGTCGCGCAGATGTGAGGGAGAGAAGGAGGGAGGAGGACGTGGGAGGAGGAGCAGATTTCTTGGTGACACCCGAGCAGGCAATCGATGCAAAGTCAGCTGGAGAAGCAAAACCAGCTGCTGGAGTCGCTGAGTACTGAGAAAGCAGCAAAGAAACCGCCGGTAGCAGGTGACTCTCCTCCGCCCTCCTTCCGTGCCCTCCTTCCCCTCCCGTCCTCCCCTTCCTCCTCTCTCTTCCTTGTCGCCCTCCTTCCTCTTCCTCCTCTTGCCGCGCAGTCTCTTCGCTCTAATGATCCCTTGGACTATATCATCAACCTGCTCAACCCTCACTACCTTCTCTCCCCTCTTCCTTCCCTCCTCTCTTCGTCGTCCTCTTGTCATGTTCTTGTTCTTCTGCTCCTCTCCTGTCGACCTGACATGCTATGGAGGGCGGCGGGCAGCTAGCAACCCCAGCATGGCCAGAGCAGGTAAGGGACGAGCGGTTTGCTCATCCTGCTCACGCGATGGACAGCAGAGAAAGCTGGACCGAAGGCCGGGAGGAGAGCCAACGTGCGGTAGAGCATGGCGACGCCGCGGAAGAAGAGGGAGAAAGGGAGAGGGAGGGAGGAAGGGAGAAGGAAGGAGGGGGAAGGTGGATGGATAGATGGAGGGAGGGAGGAGGAGGAGGGATGTATATGGTGATAAGAAAGGAATAAAAGTAAAGAAGAGGGACAGAACAAGCTACAGGCTTCACTGCACAGGAAACTTATCAAACACGTAGGGGGGCAGGTGCTGACGGACGAGCGACCTGCTGATCTCCCCATAGCGGCAGAACTCGTCAAGGAAGATGAGGATGCTGGCGACCTCGCCCGGGAGCTCCTGCAGCTTCGCGTCCTTGGAGGTGATGATTACCTGACAGCGAACGTACTGGGCGAGGTAGGCGATGAACTTGTGGGTGTTCGACGAGTGGAACTGCCGCAGGAAGGTGGCGACGCCGACGATGATGGTGGAGCCGTCGAGGGTGAGGTTGCGATCCTTAACCTGCAGGGTCCCCAGCTTCTTGTTGTAGCTCAGGATGGGAGCGAGGGAGATGACGAAGAGGGCGATGAAGCAGGCGATCCCCTCCAGCGGCTCCGTGGTCACGTAGATCTTGAGCATTGGGGACGACAACCCCAGGGCGTCGAGGAAGGGAGCGAGCTGGGGCAGCAGCTGCTTCTCTTCCGAAGGGTACGCGTGAGTCTCCGGCTGCTTGTAGTGCATCGCGATGTCGCTGAGGAGGGCCTGGTTCATCACCTCCAGCGCTCCTGCCGCAGGCCCTCAGATCCCCAACTCCACCCCCACCTCTCTCACCCCGTCAATCCTCCTCCTCCTCCTCCTCCTCCTCCTCCTCTTCCTCCTCCTCCTCCTCCTCCTCCTCCTCCTCCTCCATCTCAACTCTCCCTCCTCCTCCTTGTCTTCTCCTCCTCTTCCTCCTCTTCCTCCTCCTGCCCCGGTCTCTGCCCCAGCCTCTCCTCCAACTCCACCTTTCTCCCAGCTCATCGTTCACCTCACCTGAGAGTGTCGCCGAGTCCAACTTTCCCACGAAGTTCAGCTCGGCCGCAAACTGCCGTCGGAGCAGCTGGGCCTGTCCAATGCGCGCGAGAACATCTGACAGCCACGGCCAGAGGCGGCTGGTGCGGGCGAGCGCGTTGCTGTAGATCCGAGCGGCCATGGCGGGGAGGGTTGTGGTGGGGTTCAGCTCGCTCTGCAGCTCGGGGAGGAGGACCTTGAGGCCCTCGAGCACCTGGCGGCGGTAGAAGCGCATGACGTCGTTGAGATCGCGGACGATCATGAAGGAGATGGTCTTGTCCAGCCCCCTGATCCCAGCTGTGCCCAAGCTGCGGTGCAGGATGGCGCAAGTCCTGATGCCGAAGATCTCCCGGCCGCTCATGTCGAACCAGCCGCTGTGAGAGGTGAGGAACAAGGACTTGTGCGAGTCCGTCTGCAGGAGGATCTCGCGGAGCAGGCGGCCGACGAAGGAGACCGAGTGTTCGTCGACGGGAGCAAAGAGGGGGATGGGAATGGCGGTGGACTGGAACCTGCTGTCCCAGGGATAGGTCTTCTTCTTGAGGAACACGTTGCACTCCTGCTCCACGTTGAAGTCTATGATCCTTGTAAACTCCTCCTGCCAGATCTTGAGCCCGTAGAGGTTGATATAGTCTGAGATGTACTCGAACGACAGCCGGAACCCGTCCAAGTTTCTCCTCAGCTCCTCAAGGCGCATCTCGAACTCCTCTACCTTGCCGCTCGAGAAGATGAGGATGCCGTGGAGGGCCATGGAGATCTGCCGCACCAGCTCCTTCCGGATCCCCTCCTGCAGCAGCTGCTTCGGGTCAACCTCCACGATCCCCATGAGCGTCTTCTCCATGGCGAGGATGCCCTCGGTGAAGACGGAGACCTGGTGGGTGGAGCGCGCGAGCTTGTATCGCTCCTCCATCTGCGCGTACTCCTTGAGCTGCGCGCGCTCGAGGCGGGAGGGGATCTGCTTCATCGAGCTCGTCTGCACGCTAATGATCTCGTTGAGGATGAGGAAGACGTTGACCGGGATGACCTCCAGCACCCTCCGCACAAACGCCACCAGCTGGCTGCTGTAGTACTCGGCCACGCTCGTCAGGTCCTCGCTCCCTGCCTGGTTGATGCGGATCAGTGGAAGCTCGAGCACAGACGCGAGCTTGAGGAAGGTGGCGCGGAGGAGGAGGACGGAGAAGGGGTCCCGCTTGATCTGCTGGTGCATGAGGTGGACGTAGTCGGAGATGATGTCAAAGGCGTAGCTCAGGTCCCCGATGGACGCCAGGGTAATGAGCATCTGTTCCTTCACGTTCACTATCCTCACCATCTGCTTCAGAAACGACCGCGCGTCCGCCAGGAAGTGCTTCACATGCGAGTTCGTCTCGATCTGGTGGAATTGCTCCACGTCCTCCAGCGCTGCTGCCAGCTGCTGCATCTTCCTCCCTGCCAGCGTCGAGTCCTGGTGATCTAGGGAGGAGACTTCAGCCGCAAGGCTGGCGAACCAATCCTTGAGCTTCTCATCCTTCGTTGCCCTCGTCAGCATCTGGTCCCCCGAGAAGAAGTGCGAGAGCTCCCTCAGCCTGTCCTCGCACTCCTCCTTCGCCTTCTTCCACCTCGTCTCCTTCCCCTCCAGCAGCGCCTTATACAGGTCCCCAACCTTGAACTCCAGCTGGGCCGTCCGCATGAGGAGCAGCAGGATCTTCTCGGGGTTGGGCCCGGCGCTGATCACGTCCCTGAGCTTCTTGTTCTTGCAGTTCCGGTGCAGCATCGTCCAGCGGATAGCTGCGTTCGAGTTCCGGAGGCAATTGAGGATCTTGTGCCCCTGGTCAAGGATGAACTCCTCGACCAAGATGCCCTCAGTCAGGTACTCGCTGAGCTGCTTCAGCTGCTCCTCCACTCGCTCCAGCTGCGTCCGATGGATCTCCTTAACTAGCTTCGTCTCCGTCGTGTTCTTGAGGGCGGAGGATGCTGCCTTGTACGGCTCCCACATGACACTGAGATCGACGACGAAACCCATGTAGAAGGAGATGACCTGGCAAAGAAGATGAGCGAGAAGTCGGAGCCATCGCTCTCCTCTACTGAACCACCACCAACTGACAGCAGCACCAGCAGATTACCAGAGGCACCACCACCACCACCACCACCACCACCACCACCACCACCAACAACAACAACAACAACAACAACAACACCACCACCACCACCACCACCACATCACCACCACCAACAACAACACCAACAACAACACCAACACCACCACCACCACCAACAACAACAACAACAACAACACCACCACCAACAACAACAACAACAACAACATTTTGCGTTGTATCGACATCATCTCCGTAGCTTCACTCACCCAGTTGTCAGAGAAGTGTTTGTCGACAATCTCTCTCATCGTCGCAAACTCCTTGTGAAGGATGTCCGGAACGAAGAAGAGAATAATGTACAAGATCGCTGCCTGAGTCGCCAAGGCAGTGCACCGATGCTCCGGGTTCGGCCACTCCTTCATCTGGCTGTAAATATCGTCGGATCGCAGCCTGTTGATCACCATCCGAGCCACGGGGATCGGAGGAGCCAGTCGAGCAAAGAAATCCTCGGGGTACCGAGGAGGCCTCTTCTGGGAGGAAGGAAGGTACCCCGAGCTGCGGAAAATGTTGCATACGGCACTGTGGCTGTCGGAGGACCCCTTGTACCTGTAGTAGCAGATGAGCATACGCTCTCTGACGGGACCCTCGATCCTGTTGTCCATCAGGGTGAGCATCAAGCCATAGAGGTAGTAGGCCTCTGCTAGCAGCTGCTTGCCGCTGTCGCTTGCCAGTATGTCTTCGATTCTGTGCTGAATGTAGACCCCCTCCTCCACGTCCTCCAGGTATCTAGTCAGGTCCTTCACGTACTTGTACACCGATTCGAACAGCTTGAAGAATCGCTCGAGCAGCTGCATGTGACTCTCACGGAACTCCTCGTCGAGGTCGATGAGGAGAGGGTCCGAGCTGATCCGATTCTCGTAGAGCTCCATGTTCCGCAGGTACGAGAAGTCATGTAGGAGGGGCCCATACTTGGCCTGGTCAGCCTTGTCGGCGAGATAGAAGACCGACGGGATGTTGTCACTGAGACGCAGCAGCTCGGCGATGATGGCAGACCCTCTGGACACGATGGATAGAAGGTTCTGTCCTGCCAGGTTGTCGGCAGAGAGGAAGTCCATGTTGCTGCTGCTCCCTCTGCTGTTCTCTCCAAGGTTACATCATCCTCTCTCCCTCCTCACGTCCTCTTTCTTGCATCGCATCCCTCCATCCCTCCATCTTTCTCCTCCTCCTCCTCCTACTCCTACTCCACCGACCCCCCGCCCATGGCGCTGACGCGGATTCACCGTAACGTCCTTGGACACCATTCGTAACGGTTGCTGGGGCCCAAAGTAGAACTTTTGCGAAAAAAGCCGCACAATGTTCCGTAAGAGTTTTCGAAAAGTTCAACAAAATACATCTAAATGGGCCGGCCGGGGCCATGGCAGTAGTTGCTGGTGGGGAGAGCAAGGAGCGAGAGAGCGAGAGAGGGAAGGAGGAAGACAAGAGAGGAAGAGAACAGTTCTGAGTGCAATCAACGAAGGAGGAAGGTGGGACGATGGGTCAGACGGGCAGGTGAGATGCGGGTGAGGGTAGAGGAGTTTCGCTTGTTAGCTTGCAGGCTCCCAGGCTCGAGCAGGAGAGCTTTGAGCGGGTTTACACCCATCTCCATCTCCCTCCTGCCCCTCTCACATGACTGACCTGTCGCCCTGCAGACACCTGGGGCCACCATCCCCTCCCTTGTCGCTCGTCTGTTGTGCGCCTGCGCTAGACCGACTGAGGTTGCAGAGGAGTCGTAGGAGGAGTGCCGCAGCCCGCATGATGAGAAGTCATCTCTCTCTCCTCCTCTTCATTGGGCTCCTCCCAGCAATCTCCGCATGGCTCCCAGCCGCCCTGCCCACCCATCGTCAAACAGCTCGAGCAGGAGCCAGGCAGCGGGCCCCGGCGATGTCGAGCATGCCCGCGGGAGAGAAGTACGGAGAGAACAGGGTGCAAGTGATCACAGACATCGACGACACGGTCAAGTCTAGTGGAGGTGTTCGTCTCTTCTGGCGGGTTGGCCCTGCCTTGGGAGGCATTGACACGCAGTACAAGAGGGGAGACTTTTACCCAGGCGTCTTCCAGTTCGGGCTAGAGCTCGCGTCCTTTGGGCTTCCTCCCAACAAGGAGCCAGCTCCTCTCGCTGTGCTCACGGCTCGAGCTCGAGAGCTGAAGCTGTTCCTCGCCCTCAAGCCCAAGACCAAGCTGTGCGTGCAGTATGTGAAGGCAGCTACAGAGACGTTCGAGAGCTGGGGGATCGGGTCGCCGAGATGGGGGGTAGACTGTGAGAGGACAGTACTGTACGGGAGCGTCATGGAGTGGATCCTGCAGTTCAGGAAGGGATGGAGAAAATTCGACAACTTCAAGAAGCTCAAGGAGATGAACGACGAGAGGACCCGTTACGTGCTGGTCGGGGACACTGGCGAGTACGACTTCGAGTGTGGCGAGCGCATGGCGGAGTTCTGCCCTGAGCTTGTCAAGGGCATGTTCTTCCACGTGGTCTCGGAGCATGACTGGAAGGAGGCAGGAGAGGACGGTATCCCCATGCCGATCGACAGGTGAGAGACAGCAGAGATCAGGGCAGGAGGACGAAGGACGTAGAGAGGAGGACGAGGACGACGAGGGAGGGGGATGTCGAGGAAGGAGGAAGAGAAAAGACGAGGACGAGGAGAATGGGGGAGACAGAAGGTCATTCAGGGTCGTAGGTACCTCAACGGAGTGCCTGTTTGCTACTTCAGGACGTATGTCGGGGCCGCGAGAAAGGTAAGGGAGATATGGAGGGAGCAGAAGGAGAGTGGGGTGGAGCAGGGCAGGAGGACAAGCGGGTGGAGGGGGCAGGAGGAGCAGGGGGTTGGGGAGGGTCGGGGTAGGAGGAAGTTGACTTGGTCCGTCAGGCCTTCCGCATCAAACTGATAGGAGTTGACGAATACTTACGAATCATCTGCGCCGCACAATCTGCCCTTGAGCAAGTAGACAGGTGGGACTTGACTCCTCCTCTTCGACCTCCTCCTCTTCCTCCTCTCTCCTCCTCCTCCTCCTCTTCTCCTCTTCCTCCTCCTCCTCCTCCTCCTCTTCCTCCTCTTCCTCTTCCTCCTCCTCTTCCTCCTCTTCCTCGTCCTCGTCCTCCTCCTCCTCGTCCTCCCAGGCCGGTGACAGCTGGCAGGGAGGACCTCAAATGGAAGGATCTTCAGCGGGACATTGACCTGTCCTACGTTGAGATCGGCCGCTTCCTGCGGCAGCAGACGCCGTCGTCACCCGCTGCTGCTGAGGTGTCGACTGCTGCTCTGTGCTAGCGGACGAGTCGGAGTGACTGTGGTGAAGGTGCAGGAGACGGAGCAGCCGAAGCAAGGATGGAAGGAGAGAGCCAAGACGAAGCTGAGGGAGGCGATCGGCGTGTTGGAGAGCTTGCAGAGAAAGTGAAAGGAGATCAAGAAGGGGGAAGCGAGTGTTGGCGGTGGGGAAGGGAGGAGGGAAGGGGGGGGTTGGAGATGATGGAGGGAGGTATTTGAATCAACAGCGGAGCGCGAGGGAAAGGGTAAGAGAGGACAAGAGGAAAGAATGGTTGAGGATGACGTGGTGCTCGACTATTTCAAGTTGTTTTTGTTATGCTTATTTAGATTTGAAACGTTTTTGAAGATCACGAGAAATAATACAGCCCTACAAAGATACAAACTCCACACGTCCCCTCTCAAACTCCCATCCTGCTCCCTGATCTCTCTCTCCCGTCTTCTCCCTCCTCATCTCAGCTCTCTCCTCCTCCTCCCTTCTCTTCTCTCCGTCACAGGAAACACTTCGATTGCTTCCCATCGACCTGGAACTTCTTCTGAAAGTTTTTCCTGATCGCATCCGTCAAATGGCGCAAACAAGACAAGTAGGTTTACTTCTTCTCCATAGCAAACCAGTTGAAGCACCTGCCATCCTCGCAATCGTCAGCGGCATCCCTGCTCCCAGATCCTCCTTCACCGCGTGTAGAAATGTTGAGCACAGGACGCGCTCTTGGCCGTGACCTCCTTCGCCACTTGCAGCAACCTTCTCTCCTCCTCCTCTGAAATAGTTCTTCCCTCAGCTTCTTCCTGTGCGTTGCCTCTGACGCCATGCAGGAGCGCAGGGTTCGTTCTCGGCGCACTCGCCTCCTCCTCTTGCTCATTGCTGTGAATTGAGTCCTGCCCCTTCACCTCCGCCGCTGCCGCCACTTCTTCCTCGTCATCCTCCACCACCACCACCTCCTCCTCCGTCTCCTCTTCCTCCTGCGCTTCCCCTCTTCTTCGAAACTTCATTGGCTGCTTCATCGCTCCCTGTAGCAACATAAGCGAGTCCTCTCCTCCTCTCTCGCCAACGACCGTCAGGTTGGCAATGGTGCCCTCTAGACAGCTGACAGCAGCTTCCATCCTCGCCAAGCGCTCGTCCTCGTCCCCTCGTGCGGCTGCTCTGTGTCGGGGAGCCTGCAAGGACCCTGAGGGAAAGACAAGGCACGATAAGACTTCTCACCTCCTCCTTCTCGTTCAGCTGGGCTCGAGCTGAGGACAGGAGCCTTGACAGCTCGACGACTTTTTTCTTCTCGTTCACAGCAACCTGAACCAGCAGCAGCTTAGCCGCAACGTCTGTCACCACCTCCTCGTCCCCGTCTTCGTCATGTTTCGCCTCCTCTTCCTCCTCCTCCTCCTCCTCCTCCCCTAAACCCTACCTGTCCCAAGAAGTCGCAGACCATGGCACCGGCGCTCCTCTCGTACTCAGCTCTGTTCATCTCTCTCGAGTATCCCTCCAGCGCTTGCAGGAGCGACCGGAGCTTGCTGATCGACTCGCAGTCCTCCTCCTCCTCCTCCGGGTCACCCAGCACAGAGAGCTTACAGAACTTTAGCTCACAAGTCGCCTGGAAGGTCTGCAGCTGGAGAAGTTTGGTGGTGAGACTCCTGACAGCCTCAGACATCTGCGAGTCTTCCTCGAGCCCCTGCCAGCTGCCGCCCACCTCCTCTAGTGTCTTCCCAGCTCGCAACGACTGGTTGGCTGATGCGTCTCGAGAGTCAACCGTGGCTGAAGAGACAAGTCTCTCAAGTTCAGCATCCGAACCTTGACCGAGCATGCGTTCTTGGATCCTGGCAAACAGCCCAGCACTTTCCTCCACGTCTGATGGCTCGCCTTCCTCCCTGCTCAACTGCTCCCGCGCCATCGCATCGACCGCTTGTTGGATGGAGGGAGGGAACGAGTAGACGGTCTGCGAGCTGTCGTTCATGAGGTGCAGCACCGAGGAGAAGGAGTCCATCTCGTTGTGGATCTGAGAGAAGCTGCGCCAGCGCTTGTTCGCCTTGTGGAAGCAGATGCGGAACCGTTCCGAGTGAAGATCAAGCAGATCTTCAAGGTTCCTCAAAACCCTCTCGTACCTCGCTGCGTCCTCGCGGGGGGCGGGAGGCTGCGGTGGAGGAGCCTCGGGAGGGTCGTCGAGGTTGAGGGAGGAGGCCTTGGACGTGGTCACGTCCCTCGTCGACGACTCGCTCATCTCTTGCTGCACGTAGTCATGGAGCTCAGCGTCGATGGCGTCGAGGGTCTGGTAGAGAGCGAGAGAATCTCCGTACCCGATCCTCTTCTTCACCTTGGGCGACTTCCCGCGCATCCTCTGAGGTGTGTGTCTTCTCTTTGGTGACCTAGACCTTCTTTCCCCTGCTGGAGTCTGCACCTTGTTCTCAGCTGGGCTCCCCGGCTCACTCTCCAGCAGCTTCTCGACTTCCTCCATCTGAGAAACTTTCGTGACCTCCAAGCTCTCATCGTTCCAGCTCGGCTTTGCGGGAATGAGCATGGCTTTCCTGCCCAGCAGGAGGGAGCTGGACGTCTCATGGATGGACTCGGACGAGACGAAGACGTGGAGGAGGAGCACGCTGTGAGCCTTGCCAGTCAGCCAGTCGGACATGAGCTGGAGCAGCCTCGAGTCTCTGTTGTGCTCCAGCTCCGTGCTGTCGTGTACGGCTGACCACAGGTGGAAGAGGGAGGGGTCCATCTGCTTGGGAGGCCCAGGGGAGCTCACCTCGCTCCTGCCCTTGTCGCACCCTAGGAGGTCAACGAAGGTGAGGCTGCTGACGACCTGCTGGGGCGAGTCAGGGAAGTTTTCCTCCGAGGTTCTCAACGTGCGAGTGAGTGTGAACTTCAAGACCATGTGGCCCGTGTGACCCTGAGAGGAGGAGGCACGGCTGCTCCTGCTCCTCCTCCTGCACGCGATCCTAAGGAGCAGAGAGCAGTCCTCCATCGACCTCAGCGCCACCTGCTTCAGGGCCTCTGTCCCCGCAGCCCTGAGCCTCCCCCTCCTGGAGTCCGCAGGATCAGCTTCAAGTAGATCCCTGACTGCATCATCCTTCAGCTCCAGGCACGTCGCGCTGACACTCCATGTACATCGACAGGTGTCTGCGCTCATGAAGTCAAACAGCTGCCGGCATGCTTGGCTGATGCATCCGCTGTCGAGCGACGACGAGTCAGTCCCCATGGTGTGAGACTTGCCGGCTCCGGACTGACCGTAAGCAACACAAACACACTTGTAGCCATCGATCATCTTGTGTACAAGAGGCGAGACGAGCGTGTCGAACACGCGCTGGTTGCTAGAGGTCTCGTCGAAGACGCTGTCAAACTTGTACTCCTTCGAGTTCAGGAAGGGAAGAGACACTCGAACCGTCTGACCGTCTTGCACGTGCACACCTCTCCTGAACTTATCCACATCCTCGTCGCTGCCTGAGGTGCAGCCTGTCGGGGAGAGGCGGACAGCGACCTGAGTGCGGTGCTTGTCGGAGCTCTTGTCCCTGATTGCTGAAAGCTTCTGTTTGATCTTGTGATACGCAATGATGGATGGTGACATGTCATCAGGTCTGCTCGCAGCCTTTGCTGCCGCCACCGGTGAAACTGCATCAGCTCTTCTCCTGGTAGCGGGGGAGCTCGGAGCCGATGCTCCCTTCCCCTTTCTCTTCCCCTTCTCTCTTGATGGTGACGACCACATCGTGAGCTTTCAAGGTCGATCAGTCACCAGAGCGTCTTCATCAGATTCTCACTTCACACTCCCTGCCACTAACCCTCTCCTCCTCTCTCGCATGCTCCCGCTCGTTCGCATCCTCCGTCTTCTCTGCCCTCCGGCCATCGCAACGGTAGACTTGCCAATCGGAATGGACCTGCCCGACGCCTACTCCCCGCTCAAACCCACGGCAGGCCCCGGGGGCCCAGCCGGGGGCCCAGCCCGGCGGCCGCCTGCCGGCGGCCCCAGCGCTGGCCCCAGCGGCGCCGGGCCCAGCCGGCTGCTGCCTAGCGGGTGCCACGGTACGGTAGTCACTGCTGAGTGCTGGCCCCGCGGGCCCGGGTCAGTGCCATAAGTTGACTCAGTGAACTTAAAATGCCCCCTGGCAACTTTTTTGGTGAGTAAAGGGACTTAGTACTGTGAGGGCCTTGGTGGAACAAGACAGTGTTCGTCTGGCGTGTCCCGTCCGACCGAGTATCATCGGCGGGTAGACATGCGCGGGCCATCGCCTGATGCCGGCCGGGCCGTTGGCACTGAGCTCGCCTTGAAGGTACGGTCGTTAGGCTGATGCCTACAGTCTGCTCAAGCCGACGTCAGTCGAGATGCATGTCCGTAGCGGAAGCAAGTCCTGGCACGAGGGGGCGCGAGAGGAAGAGGAAGAGGCGGTGCAGGACTTTGGAGCATGTTGTGCAAGGAGGAGCGATCGGACGGATATCAAATGATGAGGGAGGGGAATCCTTTCCTCCATCGCTATTCAGCTACTCTTGAGAAGAAATCCACTGGCAAAGAGAATTTACTGTCACATGTAATGGAGAGAAATGGTTCAGCGTGTGATCTTCTTCTTCATCCTGTCCGTGGCCTCTTCGCAGCTCGCAGATTGTTCACACGTTGCATAACCTGAACACCGTGAGCACAGTCAGAACCCGCTGAATCGAAGCGGGAGAAGAGAAACAGGAGGAAAAGAGAGAAGAAGAAAGGCGATCAGGCGGGAGAGGGAGAGGGAGAGGGAGAGGGAGAGGGAGAGGGAGAGGGAGAGGGAGAGGGAGAGGGAGAGGGAGAGGGAGAGGGAGAGGGAGAGGGAGAGGGAGAGGTAGAGGGAGAGGGAGAGGGGAGAGGGGAGAGGGAGAGGGAGATGCAGAGGGGAGAGGGAGAGGAGAGGAGAGTGAGAGGGAGAGGGAGA